CGATCTTTTTTGGGTCCCTCCTGTCAGTTGTTAAATCCATTTGAATATCGTTGCATTGTGTACGGATCATGCTTTGCACGGCAGAAGACAAACTCAGGTGGATTTTTTGGATTTGAAATTTTGGAATTCATTTTGAAATCAGAAAATGAATACCTTCAAATAGAAATTGTTTGAATAAGGCTTCAACTTTACATTATAGACTTCATATACGCCTAAAAAATTTGCTCGAAATTATTGGTCGGTTGCTAGAAGACCTTCCAATTGATCATCCCGACTTCGTGATGTATGGATATTTTAAAAAAAGATTTCGACTCTGAAAAATAGTAATTTTATATGTCTTATAACGTCTACACCATCAATTTTCAAGATTTTCAAATTGTTTCTAGATCTAGTCGATCTATAATATTTTTGGAGCTTCAAATTTCATATTTAAAGGTAAAAATAGATTTTAGGGTCACTGTAGAAAAGGCTCACACTTTGAATAGCAAGGAGAACCAAGGTATTTCCTTCTGCACTCGTATATTGTCCTGGTACTAAATAGACATATTTATCATTCTTTAATCAATGGTGGACACAAGCAACCCAAAGTCTGGTTGGAAGTAGGCTCCGAAGTTGGAATTTAGGGTTAAATTTGAATTTCACCGAACGAAAATGAAATTTGGACCTTCAAATTAAGCATCAATGAAAAGCAATGATGAAACCCTAATTTAGCAAAGAAGCAACACTAATTTTGTTTGGGGAAGATGAGCAACACTTGGTGAATAAAATGCAAGCACCAACTTGGCATGGAAAGGGGGCATGATTTGTTTTTCAAAGTGAGGAGTGCTCCAAAAATTAAAGATTTATTCCAAAGCATAAAGATTAGCATGCAATTGTGTCTCTCATAATCTTTGGTATATTGAGTGGGTGTGTCTTTAGGAGACAAAGATGTAACACCCAAGCTTGAGTTGTCTCCAAAAACACCTCATATGCATTCCATGTATTCCTTTATGCACCGAGACAGAGCATCCAACTCCTCGTACATCAATTTTGTTGCCATTACTTAATGTTATTCATCAAGAAATGTGTTTTTTTGGTTTTCTTGGGTGGGTGGGTTGGCTCGGGACCCAAGGGGTAGACTCGATCTGGGTCTGGGTATGGGTCCAAAAGTGGATTTGGCGGCTCTGTTCCGGGTCTAAATCTTGGACCCGAATACTATTCGGGTCCAGATCCAGTAATATTTATTGGGTCCCAATATGTGAAATATATTTAAATTTAGTTAAATACATAGATATTTTAATTTTTGGATCGGATCTAAGTTCCATACTGTATTTCCAGGTCCAAGTTTGGTGAATTTGGGTACAATCGGGTCGGGGCGCCATCCCTAGGGGGAGGGAGGAAAATTGAGGATGGTTGGCCACCAATGCTTCCATGGCCAGTATATATCTTTACATTTTAAGAGAGAGAGCGCATCCAACTCATTACTTTTGTTACCATTTGTTAACCAGAGTGGGAGGAAAGAGGAAAATGGAGGAAAGTTGGCCACCAAATGCTTCCATGGCCAACATATATTTATGTATTAAGAGAGAGAGATGGGAAAATTGGCCACCAAATTCATCCATGGAAAACAAATGAACTCTTTACCAAACTCTTAAACTCTACCCCACTGCTTTGGCAAAGGCAGTCCAGCAGGAGGACTCATCCTTCCTATATTTTATACCACTATTCCTTTCCATACATATGTTTGTGCAATATTTTAATGTTTTTCTAGATTTAAAAATCCCTAAATTTGTTCATTGACAACTCTTTTCTAATCATTGGCATCCATACCAAACAAAGGAAGATAAAAATCTCATTTGTTGTCCAAAATCTAAATTATGTCTTGAAATAAAAAAATACTGCTATAATTATACAAAGCAAAATAAAAGGAAATCTCCATGCTTTTGTGGATTCCAACCATTTTGGACCTTTTTTAAAATGACACTCATGCCTCTCTCTTCAAGGTGTGACAGGTATGCCAATTTTTAAAATTCTGAGGAAAGAAATTTGTAAAAGTGGTGTTGTTTTCTTCTTATTTTTGATGTAATTTCTGTTGAAGTTTTAAAAGAGACAATTTATACCAAATAGAAAATTAACGTAACAATAAAAGTAGTCTTTCAAGACTCAGCCGAGTCCAATCGGACTCTACCTCAAACAATTTTTTACATTTTTTATTTCTAAATTTTCTTTCACATATGCACTACTCGGCTTAGTCCACCCAAATGTATATTTGGCCTAAATCGAGCTAAAAAATATTGAATAAAAGTATAAACAATAATTCATAAATAAAATTTTTAAAAAACTACAAGCTATGAATTTATGATAAAACGTTATTTATTTATTTATTTATATTAATTGTGGGGAAAATTGGAAAAGGAGATATAGAGGAATCTCATAAATTTTCTTTTTTGGGTAGATTAGGCCATTAATAGTCGGATTCGAACTAGGGATTCACAGTGTTGCAAAATCCAAGCATAGCGCTCTAAGCAATCAAGCCAGGGATCCTGACGGCACTCTACATTTATGTACCAATATTTTTAATGAAAATAATCGCGCATTTGATTTCGGGAAGTTTTGGTTTTAAAAACTGCGTCTTTGTAACACTTTTGTGTTTTTATACAAGGAAGTTTTATAGTCAAGTGGATATATTTAATATAAAAACATGGAGTGTAAAAGACATTGGAACTTGGGGTATGCACTTCCATGGAAGATGTAATTTCCATGTTTTCTATTTAAGGTAAAAAGTGGATACCGCCAAAACCAGGTTTTCTACAAATTAAATACGCCCTAAATGTCTCAAGGTTAGTTATCAAACGATACCTAAATGTTTCAAGTATAGTTATCAAACAATATCAGACTCCTTGATCCGACCGATTAGACTGTTGACTAGTGCCTTGAGATTTTTTGGTTTAAAACAAAATTGGTTTCATTGAAAACGAGCCAAAATAAGTGTTTGATCAATTTTGGTCTCTTGGACCATTTGGATTTGAGTGGTTCGATTGTATAAACAAAATTGAAAAACTTCCCCTTATGGTTTGATGGCCGGTCTGATCTTGACAACTATGATATCCTTGATAACTATAATATCTTTTTCTTTTTTGACATGGTTACATAGGAATGGAACTTTTGGGCTTTGAAAAACTAGTTTCTACTGTCTTGACCATAGTTAGCAATCAGGGGATTATTAATAAATCGGCTCACCATGAAATTGGAAACTAACCGTTTTTTTTTTTAAAATGTCGGATAAAAAAAATGGTTAAAAATATGGATCGGCAAAAATACTTAAGGTAAAGAGATCGTGAATATATTGGACTAGGCTCAACAAATCGGATATATTTAAAATATTAGAAATTTTAAAACTATAT